GGGTTTGAAGGATTTGTTGGAGGTGGGTGTCCAACATGAGGAGCTCTTTTGGGAGCATGGTGGATATACACTCGGTCACAGAAATGCAGCTAGCACACAACTTGAACTCAGGGGTTTTTGTTTCTGACAGATGCTGTTTTCATCCCTCAGGGTTGTTATGTAAGAGGGAAGCTGTGAGGAAACATCCAGGCTCAGTTTTCCTCCTGGTCACTGATGCTTTTCCTCCTGTGGGTGAACTGTTTGTTTCCATGGTGGTGATGATGGTGTTGTTTCCACAGTCTGATGTTCGGAGGCGTGAGTTCAACTCTGTAAACTGCTCTGTGTCAAACCCTGTTTCTGTTGTGGCACTTTTTTCTGGCCAGGTTTTGTTGTGGAGCAGAAAACTCTCGAATCTAATTCTTTTTGTTTTTTCCCTCATCTGTGCTCTTGTGTCTGAGCTGTGGTGCATGACAGAGTTCATCGCTGAGCTGAATGGACCTCGACTCTTGGCTCTGTTTAGGAGGACATAGACATTTTAAACCCAAGCAGTAATACAACAAAGGGGTTCGACCCCAAACCAAGTCACAACAACAGTTTTGGTTTGGTGGCTGAGTAGTTTTCTGTCTAAATCGGATGAAGCCACCACTGCTTCATGTTGTGGTCGTGTGTGGAGCTTTGGGAAAACAAAAGACAGAAAACTGCTATACGTAGTTTGTTCTCTTGCACTCTGCTGGGACACTGGAGCACCAACAAAATAACAAGCAACAACAAACCAAAAACCAGATTTTGTTTGCGATAGAGCATCTTTTTAGACATATTTCCCCCAAAATTTAAACAGGCAGACTTGGGCATCGTGGGGAAATTTGGGATTTCTGCAGAAATGTTTAGTTTTGTGGGTTTGAATGTTTGATTTCTGATCCAACATTGAGAAAGTCTTAAATAGTGTAAACTCCTAGACTTAATAAAGAGTTTCAAATAATGAAATAGTACATTCTTATTGCGGTTTTTTTCTCTTTCAGATGGTATTTTGGACTTGGGAGCAGCAAAAATCACCAGAAATCTTAAGCTGCTTGTGCTGAAGCTTCACTCCTGTCACATTTCCCCCAGATGTGCCCTCATGTAGTTTTTAGAGTTTGAAGGCAGTTATTGACATTTAGTGCAACATAAAGATCCCAACACCCTCTGAGCTGTAGATTTAAAGCTAGAGGTGGTGTCCCTCATGGTCACCTCGGTCTGTACCCGCCTGAACCAGAAAACCCTGTGGGTGAGAGAGGTCTGTTCCAGCTGTGGGGTGTGGATTAGTCAGAAAATAGCTGGAACGCTCACAGACCAGTCAACCTGAAACAAAAAGAGGTGCAGCGACTACACATAAATACATTTGTTTTCAGAATGACTTTCACAGTTGCTGTACAAATGGAATAGTAGTAAAGTTTGCATGTGTCTGGAAAGCCACAGGAAAACCAGGACAGCGTCTGCTGACAGTTCAATCAGCTCATGACGGATCACTGGTTGGAGCAGCAGACGACTTCTTACTTGTTTGAGGTTGAGTTATGATTCCGGGGGTTGGTTTAGGTTGGCATCGGTGCTGCGGTGAAACCAGACCGCTGCAGCAAGATGCACAACAACACAGCAATAACAAGCTGTACCAGAGTGATCTGACTTCTTTATGGCTCTTACAGATGGTGGACTGTCGCCGCGGCGGGCGGTCGGACGCCTGCAATGGCACTCTGAAGTCAGGAAAATGATCAGCTCGCCCAGACCAGGAGGAATTTACCAATAAAACCATCAGGTTTTTTTTAGCCTGCCTCAGCTGCTGCCACCACAGCTGGGGATTTCCTCCATTTCCCACAATGCTTTGTGACTACTACTGCATTCAACCTTTGTAATAAATTGTTAACACAGATTTATTGATTAAATGTTTAAATGTCAGGTCACAAACAAATGATTAAAAAAATGTTAAAATATTTAAAAAAAATAATACAATGAAAATCTAAATGAGAATACATGAAATAACTTAATAGAACTAACCTATAATACAAAGCATCTGGTTTGCTTTGGAGCAGCAGCAGCAAACCAGGCTGGTCTCAGTGTGTTTGCTGCAGTGAGATAATCCATTACTGTTGAGTCAGCTTTATTTGTGCAGGGTGTTTTTCTGTTGCGTTCAGAAACCAGAATTCCAAACAAATCCACCCAACTAACCTGTACAGTTGGCCACAGAATCCCATGTATCTGACGTTCTGGGGATTTCCTGCTCTTCTTTCTGTCTGTCACCAGCTGCTGAAGAGGAGGATTATTTCAGTATAAACTCTCCTCGCTGGGCCTCACAGACCTTTCTCCTCATGTAAGCTGGCATGGAAAATAAGCCGTCCTCTTCTCCACTCTGCGTTCCAGACCCGAGACGTTCCAAGTGGGGGAGCTGACATGGTGGCGTGGGCCCGCAAAGGCGACATCTGCAAGCACTTTCCAAAACGCCGCCCCAACTGAGCAGCAAGAAGAAAAGGAACAAAGAAGAACAGTTTGTAATGAGTCCTCTCACATGGGAAGCTTGTGTTCTCATTTAGTGTCCATCCTCATTAGGCCGTTACATCATTCTGTGACCAGAACAGTTGTACAGCCTGGGTTCAGACCTTTCAATCACCGAACATGTCTGACAAGATTAAATATGGAGACATCATCTTGCTGTACCACAACAAGTTTGTTTAGTTATTTACATTTGACAGCCATTCAGCTTCCTGCTTCTCTCACAGCTGTGTCGCCTGCAGTCGGGAACACAAACACTGGCTAACATGAACACACCATCCAACAGGTGAATGCAGCCAAAACAAAAAGGACATTTGGTCTGATTTTGAGCTTTACTTTAGATGAGACCGTTTAAATTAAAGACGCTGAGCCGTGTCGTGAACTGGCCTGTAAATAAAACACAGCAGCAGAATTATGATGTAAAAATCATTCCTGACCTTAGAAAAGTAGTTTGACAGAACACTCATTAGTCTTTTTCTGGAGCTAAGTGCAGATGTCTTTAGACACATGGAGCATCCATGTGCTCAGGATAAGATGCTGCAATATGAAGAGGAGCTTGGCCTCACACGAACACAGCTGATACCAACAACTTGAGGCACGAATGTGCTGATGTTAGCGAGTGTGTTAGAACGGCAGCTTTTCTGCACAGCTGCTGGTCTGTCTTCGTACAAAAGTTGCTACTGGTGTGTAGGAATCAGCTGGTGTGTGCCATTTAACTCACCAGTCACCATCGTTGTATTTTCCCAAAGTTTCCCAGATACCTGGAATGATTTGAAATCTTTGCCCAGTCCTGTCATGTTGGTGCAGATGTCCCATTATGTTTTGTCCTTTCAACCTTCTAACAAATATAAACGTTCCTCAGTAAACCTGTGTCACCCACCAACAGGCTGCTGGTTTGTGCTGCTCACAACAAGTCAAACATCTGCTCAGGGGAAATGCAGTGTAATGAATGAAGCCCATGCACATTGACATATGATCTGTAACTGGCTGTTTGGTTCATTCTGGCTGAACTCAGCTTGAAATGTGGACCATCCAGACTTGCTTTGGGACAGCCAGTGGATATGTTCACAATCCAACGACGACCATTTCTGCAACGTTACAGTGTGAGTATGTTGTTGGTGCGTAGACCTAATGAACACAGGTGGTAAATCACAGCGATACGAGCGAGCTGGAGTGCTGCAGAAACCTACCAAGTCACTGTGACCTACATTACCAAATGAATTACTTCCAGAGTGGAAAAAGCACAGAAGTCCTCAACATGATGGATGGCGTTAGAGCTGATTTACAGCTCGGCGAGAGCCGAACATGGAATTAGGGATCTGCTTCTCCACACTGGAAGCTCTTCGGGCTGTGACAGCAGTCAGGATTTATTTAGGAAGTTCTGTACGGGAGCTTTTCTCTGAGCTACCAGGACATAAAACTCCTCAGTTGTGATGACTGCATGTAAATTCACTGGGATAGAAGCTCAGCAGGCTACGCAGCCTGCTCACAGTACTGATACCATGTTCAGTACTGTAAGGAGAAAGATTTCTGTTTGACTTGTGGCCATTCAAACTTGAGGATGCTTGCTCAGTAAGGCCCCAAGTCACTTTGGAAGCCATGTTGCTGTACTCCTGTACTGACGACAATGGTCTATGCAGCATCTGCTGCTGCATATGTATCCATTGATGGATTTTTACAGTCCTTGCTGAAACTGTAGCATGTGCCTTTGTTGTCTGCTCTAAATCAATTGGGTAAACCTCAGAAACCAACCAAACCTGTCTCTGTGCTAGTTTCCCAGTAGTCCCTGAACGCTGCACAGTCGAGGACTAAAGACCCTTTGTGCTTTTAAATGCTCCTCTTCTGCCTGCTCTGCCAGCTCATGTGTAGCCCCGCTGCCCCCCGACAGTACTTGGAGCCTCTGCACACTCTTTGGCTCAAGTCCCACAGACTCCACAGGACTCTGGGAATCCATTCAAGGCGTCGCTTTGGTGACTACCTCATTACCCAGCACCACCTGAGGGCTGGAAGAGGCAGCCAGTTTGAGTTGTCACAGTGTAACGAGGTGCAGTTGTGTTCAAATTGTCCCAGTTGTCAACTGACTGTTGAGCTCCCAAGTACCTGAGTCTGACTTTGTACTGAACAAGGCCTAAAGACTGGGAACAGGGATGTCTGTCTTCCGATGCTCCCTGGTTTCACTGTTGGGTCTTGTAGCAATGAGGTTTTGCTGTTCGCTCCAAAACTAGCTGCCACTAAAACCTCTGTTTCTTAGTTTTTTCAAGACCCAGGACATGACAGGCACATTTTACTGTTGTATAAAGCAAAAAGTCCCATCTAATTGAGTCCAGATGAAGCTAATCAGTCATTAAATTGATCAATTTAATGGCTCTTTTCACTTTATTAATCCTGTAAACCACACAAAGCATTCAGATCCCTTAATCACTGTTCTCTACCTATTGCAAACAATGGCAGGCCCCCTTTTAGTTCACAGTGCATTAGTTAATGTAGAAATCAACACAATGTGTTGGTGGCCTGTATTTACTGCAACACACAGCGGTGTGCCGCCTGGTCTGGCACTCCAGACCTATGCCAGATCCACTCTTGATCCATTCTGGACTCTGCCTTGATGTTTGATTGGTTTAAGAAGGTGGAGATACACTGTAAAAATGTTTTGGTGAAAATCTGAAAGCTTTAATAAGATAGAAATTCCAAAGAAACTAACATAACATTTCCTAACATAAGTTGCATCTATAAAATAATTACTTTTCCTTCCCTACAGCACTTCATTGAAACTACCTGATTACATTGATTTTAAGTATTAAAATGAAGATAAAGGAGACAAATTTTCAGTCACAAATGTCTTTGTGCATCACTTTATAAACAAAGTTTGTATTTCTCTCAATTTGAATCTTTGCTCGGATTAACTCTGAACGTGTTTGTCCTTGGCTTGTACAAATTATTGACTGGCAGAACGTCTTGTTCAGGATTTTCCTTTAAACTCTCTTCCCTGGTGTTATTTCAGCTCATCTGCAGATGTTTCCTTCATGAGACTGATCATTAGATGAAATGAAGCCTCCTCAGTCGCAGCTCTGATGGACAAACCGGATGTTTTGATCTTCTTCCAAACTCAGCTCAGTTCTCTCAAACCTTTTTTAATGAAGTAATGACACACTCAGAAGGGTTTCACATAAGAAACTCTGGAAATTTGTGAAATGAGAGTCACCATGTCATATCTAGTAGCAGTGTTAGTGACAGAAGTAATTCTAATGGCATCAGACCTTTGTGGGATGTGTTTGTTTTCCATTAGTATTAATTGGTAAATGAACTGTTTTCTAAATTGGCTGTAGGATAAATGCAGCTTGTTGGCATAATTGGCACTATTAGCCTTGTTAGCCTAACTGGCAGGGTGCTGCTGTTTGACATGAAAGTGTTTAGGTTCCACAGGACGAGTCGCAGAGCACGAGCGCAGACATGAAGTCAGAACAGAGCTCTGAGAACCTGAAGATTTACTCTGTCCACCAGCGTGTTGAAGCCTGTTGTTCGCAGCTGTCCGAATCTGCTGCCAGGTTGAAGCTACAGTGTCTGCACTTCAAAGCAACAAGGTGGAAATTTGATCCCGTCTGCTGCTTCACTTCATGTGCCCTGAATTTGACCTGGAACTGGTTTGTGGTACCTCCTTGCACATTGGATCAGATCACACAGACCCTCTGATGTTTATCAGGGTATCATCCAGAAACAGTGAACATTAGCGTGTCTGACAGGGATTTGTGTATCAACAGTAAAAGTGTCTCGCAGCTATATGTTGACACCTTGCATCACTTCTCAGCCTTCATTATCTTCTGGTTTCTGGCCATCTTCCCTTGTTGTGACGTGTGCTGAACGTCTGTCATTGGTTTTTCTGCTTTGGGCCTGTTTATAGCTGCTGTTTGGCAGCACTGCACCTTCTCTCCATCCTGTCGCATGTAACAGCACGTGTTGGACTGTCTGCCTCTGCGCACAACAAGAGTCCAGGGCCAGGGTTCAGGTTTTCCTTTCAGTCCTCCTCTTCATCACCATCCCGCCTCCATTTGGTGTCCAACCCGGAGAAAACATGTCAGCAGCCTTGGCTCTGCAACTGTTCCCAGTGTGCACGTGTGAAGCGGGTGGGCTTGTGTGTGTCTCTGTGTGACGTTGTGGTCTTTCATTCTTCTCATCCTGCTCTTATCCAAGAGCCACCAAAGACTTTTCTGCAAACACGTGGAAAAACCTCAGTGACCCAGACACACACATTCTGCTGCTGCTGTTATCAGTGTGTTTGTAGATGCCCTGACACACACTCGTTTCAGTTTATGTGAAGTTGTTAAAACCTCCTCAGCTGTTTCACATTCCTGTCGTTCCTCAGTCCGGACCTCATTAACACTGTACATTTGACCTGCAGCTGCAGCTTGGCATTTGGACTAAAACTCTTCTGTGTGCAGCCTTTCCATACAGGACATGGATGATTACTGAGGGGGGCCTACTGGGCACTGGCCCCTGGGCCCAAACTCTGCCTGAAGCAACTGGTAATTTTCATGAGTCACAGAGCTCATGTCTCAAGAGAGAAGGGAACGGCTACAGAGAGACACTAAAGGACTGCAGCCTCCAGGGACACCAAGAGAAGTTTCCATTGGTAGTGTTGTCTTGTACATTAACATGATTTTCTCACTTGCAGTAAAACTAGACAGTAACTTATAAAGTACAAATGAACAAATTGTTGAGGAATTAAAAACCTTTGATGTTGGTGATGTTGATGTTTCTGATCACAGTTTGTTCTCTTGCGTTTCCTCCCCAGCACTGCTGGCAACCCTCTGTGCGACTGCATTACAATGTGTCAAACAGCCAAACTCGCAGGGAAAACAACACATTAAGAAGGAGGGGGAGGAGGAGGAGAGGTACATGATGAAAAAACCCAGGGAGAAAAAGCTCATGTTTGAGGTCCAGAGAGAGCGGTGGAGGAGGAGGGAGGAGCAGTGTACAATACAGTCTGTGAGGACAGAGCAGTGGTTGGTGGTGATGCACAGGCCACACCCCCTGCTCAGGCTATAGATGCTGGTGTTTTGGTGGTCCACCTCTCCACACTGAGGACGTCGACAGCTGAACAAGTCCTAAGACTGACTGATGCCTGCAGGGACAGACTCTTAGTGAAGTTGTCCAGCTCCTGGTCGCTCCTCATTTTCATCCTGCTCTTCCAGAAGCTGTAACTCTGAGAGGTCATGGCGAGCATTGCTGTCCTCCTCCAAGTGCTCCTCCTGCTGCTCGGAGCAACCCTTCTCCTCAGTGGCATCCCTGCACAGAGGGTCAGAGGCAAGTGCACCAAACTGCATGCAGATAAAAGCAAAGAGCTGCAGGGTAAAGTGACAGGAAAGCATGGGGAAACTGGGACATGCACTGGCTGAGAGTAGTGAAGTAAAATGTGATAAGGCAGGAATGGTTGGAATAACTTCAGGGACATAAACATGGTGAAACAGTTGGGAGAGGTAAAAAAAAGTGGGTAAAATCAGGTTAAATGCAAACAAAATGGAACAAACTGTCCTAAAGTGGAAGCTGAAGGTAAATTAAAAAATGGACAAAGTGTGACAGATGTAATTATGCAAATATGGTGCAAGGACAGACATTCATAAAGTTAATAAGGGCTGCATTACTGTGGATATAAATGGGTGAAGCTGGACAAAACTGTGACATAAACTGGTTCAAAGTGGTGAAAGAGACAGTGTAATACAATAAACTAGATGACAGTGCAGAAATCAGAAATAAATGATATGGGTGTGTGTGCAGCTGAGGTGCAAATCAAACTGCACAAATCATGTCTGCCTGTCAGCTGAGTTGGTCTCAGAGCTGGACTGTGTTTCTGCATTCCGCCCCCTAACTCTAACCCTGCAGCACCGAGTCCTGACAGACCTGTGCAACTCTTGCGCAGGTGTTCAGCTCTGTCATCACCACCCTCGCCTTGTGCAGTTTGTCTGAGTCAGCAGTTTGAGTTTCACAATGATGCTGCAGAGAAGTGATGAAATTTCTTTGCATGTTGTTTTGCATGTGTTTCATGCTTTTGCTGAGACTTGACTGGATGCACGTTGAAGTGGGTTCTGGCTTCAGTCCAGTGTTAAACGTCCTCCCATGCATCCTGCATGGCTCCGTCAGCCACTGCAGCCAGGTGTGCTGCTCGTCCAGAGGCAGCATGGTTCGTTCATGATATAACCTGTGATTGTAATGCCTTGTTGAGTTTCTATAGTTATGTAAACCGATTAAAATCCCCTTATTCAGAAGTGTCACGGTGGTCTGATGTGAGGGCTGGAGACTATTACCTCACTGGGCGAGAGACCGTCAAGAATAAGAGAGAGAGAGAGACCTGTGAGTCCAGCAGGATGTGTTCAGACAAGCTCCGAGTTCTGCTTCTGCACAGATTTTATATGAGACAAACCCACTGAGTAGCTGTGTTGTAACAGAGTGCAGAACCCTCAGGGACACATTTAGAAGTTGTATGTGAACTCCTGATGTTTTTGTTTGTTTGTTTGGTCCCGTGTTTACAGCGTGGTTGTTATTTCTGCATCTGTTTTGTCAGACTGTGGTGAGGACATGGCCTCATGCAGCTGTTAGACTCATTAAGGGCTCAGTAAAATATTAATGTAGCTCAGTGAGAGGACAGAGCTGCACTTAACTGAGGAAGCAGCAGCTTCAGGTCAAAACTGTTTTGTTCTCCCTTAAAGTTTGCATGAGCACCCCTCTCAGCTCCGGTTCACAGGGTCCACTCCGAGTAACAGTGGTGACAGTGTAGAAATCCTGCAAGTACAAGTCCTGCATTTGAAACTGCTTCAGAGTCGCTACAGTACAAGTACATTGTGACATTTGAGTCGATTGTTACAGTTTGGGCTGTTCTACCTTTTTCCCCACCAAAATCAATTGTTGTCGTTTTGCTTGTTTTTAATCGTAACAAAGGCTGTGACGGAATTTTAGAATCAAACTAAAAACAGATGACCTGTGGGGGGCGCTGAAGCCCCTCCCTGCCTTTGCTTTTGCTTTTTATCTCAGGCCGCATGTAGATGTGTGCAGCCATTTAGGGCCTGGCTAAAATATTTTGGAGTTGACCACTAAAGGCACTAAAACACCCCGAAACACTTTGAATTGTTTTGTTTTCTGCCCAAAAACAACAACTGTCATGTTGCTAAATTACCCTAATTAATTAGGTGACATTAAGCGTGGTTAGTTTTCACTTATCTTTAAGATTTTTCTTCCCATATAAAAGTCAACTGGAGCCATTCAGAGTCGAAGTGAAATTTCTTCCTTCAAGGTGAAACCACTGAATGCAGCAGCTCATTAGTGCACAGATGAAAGCGTGTGCAGTATCAGGCAGGAGGGTTTGGTTTCCATCACAGACTGACTTCATGAGACAGAGCCTGTGTTTACACCAGCGTCGCCCAGTTTTCTCTTGCGTGTGGCATGTTTTCCCATAAAAGGCGAGCGGTTGTGGAGCTGAGCGTCGGCGGCATGCACTCACATTCACACAGGTGGAGCCTGCGACTCACACCAGCAGTCACTGATAAGCCTGTGAGCTCAGTATGTGGCCACATAATACGAGACTGTCCAGGTCACGTTCATATCACATGCACTGTTTATGTTTCCTGTCTTTGACCAAATTCACAGTGCACGGAGACCAGATACTGTTTATTTCACTTTGCAGTACTGTGGTTACTCTGTGCAGTAATCTGTGTTACTTGTGGCATCATTTCCTTGTAGTACTTTGATGCATTGTTTACAAAGGTCTCTTGTGGTGTTTATTGTACTGTGGTTTTGTGGTAGTTTGGCCTGTTTTTATTGCAGTAAATTGGCAGGACTTGTACTGTGTTTGAGGTCACATCCGGCTGGCTGTGTGTGTTTCTGTTGGGGAGGCCATTCCTCTGTGTTAAACCCTGCATTTTCAGGAGGCCTGATGTGTTGCATGTCAAGGTTTATCCCTGACAGTCAGCACTGCCAACACTGAGCCACAGGACTCCACATGTCTGCAGCTTTTCCCAAACTGATCTGCAGGAACAGGCACCCTGAAGAGCGCCTGGCTATCACAGGTGCACTCAGTATTGAGCACAGTGTGTCTCGTAAAAACCCTTGAGTAATAATGGGGGGGACATGCTATTCGTCACAGCTCTGCTGCCCCGCTAAGGGCGAGCAGGAGGCTACGCTGATGAAGAAGGTTACTCACTGAAGAGCAGTTTCCCCTTCAGCTACTCAGTGCTTTAAAGAGACGCGTTAATAATTCCTGAGAAAACCCTGAACCGTTCTGCTGAAGCTGTGGAGGAGCAGAGGTCCTCTCGATCTGCTGCTGCGCACCAACATGTTCACTAACTGTCCAGCCCCAGAGGCAGGGATGTGAATCATACGCACTCATAAAAACATATGGAGAGTTTGATTTTATGACAGATATCCATGTCAGAAATAATGAGAGTGTAAAATTAAATCCTGCAGAACAGAGTGTACCTTATGCTGACAAAGCAAACATTCAGACACTCAAGGTGATCAAAAACTGATGCCTGGGCTGTTTGAACAGGAACTAACTCTGACCCATAAACCATCATTTGCCCACACTAAACAAATGATGCCATAACAAGCCTTCATTCAGCTGTTCTCAGTTTCTTGGGGCTGATATTTACAGAGATGGGGAGGTGAGAGGAAACATTTCAAACATGGAAGATACCTTTTATGGAAGAATATTATATGATTTAAGTTTCAAGTTGCCTCTTGCTAATTTGTAATGATTGGCTTCTGTCAGAGGAGGCTGTTTGAAATTCACTAGCAGTAGATGGAAATCACAAATCACTTCACTTTCACATTTAATTCTTTGTAGTCACTAACTTTGCAGTCAATTCTCTTTTCCTAAGATAAGTAATGCATCACTGTTCTGTGTGGCGGTAAGTGAATACATCACACATAGGATTCAGTCTTCAGTTTGAGTTCACTATGAAGATCCCTGTACCCAGTACCAGGGAGTACTGGTAGTACAGACAGCAGCAGTAGACAGTAAGATTCTGAATCTGACATCTCATTTAAGTCTTTAATGCTGCTTTGAGCCAAAGCAAACCTGCACAGCTGCCAAACCTCTGACACTCTGAAGAGAAATGTTACAGCAAGTTGAGAATCTCCAGTTTCATTGTCTGTTTCTCTTGTAATTATCCACAATTTGTTCTAATGGGACCGGAGCAAAACAACTGTAGGTTAGTGGGGAGCTCACTGCTCTACGAATGACGACAGGAAAGAGAAACCCTGAAATCACAGCAACATGTGCAGGACTCAGTGGCTCAGTGAATTGTTTCCAGATTGTCAAAAAAGGAGCCAGTCTCCTCTTCTGTAAGTCTGCATTTACTGTTGTGTGTCTAAAATTCATGAACACCAGCAGTTTCACTGTCAAATGTGTCATCAAGGTGTTCATCTGCTGTATGCAGGTGTCTTTAAATGTCTTGAAATCTGCACTTCCTCTGAGCTCCCTCATCTCTTCTTCCCCTCCTCAGTCCGCCGTCAGAACATGAAGGTTCGGATCAACGCCACCGGCGACACCATTGTGATGAAGTTTGTGCGCCCGAGTCCCGACGTCAAGTTGGAGGGTTATATTCTGGGTTACGGCAGGAGCATGTTCTCCAAGCAGTTCATCCCGCTGCCGGAGAACGGACAGCCCTACGAGACCGAGATGGGTAAGACCAGGGCAGGTGACTACAGAGGCCCAGAGAGGACATACGTTGTTTTTAATAACATTTTTACAATATTGAATTTTAATTGTACAATCATTTTCTTGTCTAAAGGAGTATTCAAATTTTCATCCAAATAAATTTATTCTCTGGGCTTATATATGTCTCAGCAAAATATTTGATTGTTTTAATGAGGTTTTGAAACGCAGTAGTTTTACCATGAGTAAGGTGGATTACAGATGACACACTGGATGTAAGTACTTCTGCAAAAAGCAGGAGAAGTCAAGGATGTGCTAAGAAATTCAAAAGAGCAAACTGAGCCAAAAACTACTAAACAAGAATATAACACACTGCACAACTTATAGTCCATGGTAGAGTTACAGCATTAGCTAACCACAGGAATGCTGCAGTATTTGCAGTATTTCCTAGTGCATGCATCTTTTGACAGGCCTGAAATCAAACCATTCATATTTTGCTCTTTCAGAAATTAACAGCATTTTCCACAGGGACCTATGAAGCGTGCTGCAGCACAGCAGGGCTTTAGAGCCCAGCTTTCTCTGCTGCTGTGGGGCTATCATGTGACCTCCAAACCTCATGTCTATAGCTCGGTACCCGTGGGAAACGGTGAGTTTCTGCAGAAGCATTTTTGGGAAAAGCAGATCGTGAGAAACTTGGAGAGCCAGGGGCTTCTGCAGCAGGTGGTTCTGATCCAGTTTCTGAAGCTTGGCCAGCAGTTTTTAATCCCCTCAAGTCAAGAAAACTCTAAAACTTGTGATGCTGCAACATGAAGGAGCGAATCATCCACAGAGAAGCTGCTGAAAGTCATCTTTCATCACCAGCTCTCCAGAGGCTCATGTTGTTTGCACTCAGCAGATTTCTGGGATAAATGACGGCAGCACGTTTTCACAGTGTGACCTCAGTGATTAGAGCATTCTCTTTTCATCTGATTACTTTAATAATGAGGGCAGAAAGACATTTACTTTGTGCTGTTTAAAAGGGTTAGAATTCAGCTCAAGGTTGGTGGTTGGCTTTCCCAAACTCTGAGAAGCCTTACTGTCTCTTCTAATAAGGCTGGAGAGACGTAACTTTGAGCCCAAATTTGTCCTTCTGTTGGCAATGTGCACAGTCAAAATGCCTTCAAGTTTGGCTGAAGTTTGGTGTGCAGATCACCACCACGTGAGCTTTGTGCTATGTTTAAAATAGCCCAATTTGGTAGTAAACGTGAGATATTTCATCCCAGTCTTCCCCAAAAAGCCTCAAAACTTGGTTGGAGTTTGGTGGACAGATAATCATCAGACAGAACTTCTGCTGAGTCATTTACTGTATTTGAATCATTCAGATCTGTGTTGTGCTATATTTAAGTGCTCCTGGAAAACTCAGACACCTTCTTTCATGCTACATTTTCTTTGGTCCCTGTGCTGAAATAAAACCCAGAAGATAAATGCTAAACACATATAAACAACTGAAATTCAGGAGGACGTATGTGCTCACTAGCAGGCTTTTAATTTAATAACCATCTGCATTTTCATGGCTCATCTCTCATCGCTGCAGCCTCTTCCCTGAGACTGCCTGTCAGTCACGCAGCATGGGCAGGGCTGTGGTGTCAGAGGCACACTTAAACACTTCATGTGGTGTTTACTTTGCTGGTTAAGGGCCTCAGTAGAGGATCATCCATCAGCAGCTGAGAGAGGAGGAGGATGGCCACGCTGTTAACTCTTTGACTCTGACGCTACAGAACAAATACAAACACTCTGGGCCGGATTCACGGGTGACCTCGGCTGCTGTGGTTTGGTTTTGGTCTTTCTAGCCACATGAGGCACAAACGTGGCTGCAGGGAGACTTCACTGTTTCCTCTGCAGGGAGCTGGTGTGTTTTCAAATTCAATTTGTTCTTTGGAACTAAAGAATCATGTTGGAAAAAAGTTCACGTGCAAAAATGTTTTTAGAAAGATACTATCAACAAGAAAACTGGACAAATTGTAATGGTAAAAATCAATATTTATTAGAATGAGGTCAGACCTGTGAGCATACAGTGTTATTATTATACAGCACTAGAGTGAATGTATGAGGAAAGCATGCGCATGTGGATGGAGGCCAGTTGTTGAACAAAGATCAGACCGCTGCAAAGCAAAGTGAAGCGCAGACTTGCAGCAGAGCTGAAAGTGAGATTATTATGAATGAAGGCGTGAGCGCTTTCACATGTGGATGTTTGAACTGTCGTCCTTGTGTTTCAGCTGTGTAATCACTCACACGTGAGTCTGGTTTCTGTCTGAGGGCATCACAGTGGTGTGAATGGGCCCTCAGCCCCCACCATGACATCACTGTCGTGGCCGCACGTTTCCTTAGCACAGTCCAGCATTCCTCACATGTTTCTGCCCTGCAGAGCTCCCACCGGGTTGGACAGCAGTTTGCTGCAGCCCCAATGTAGTAACAGTACACATTGTTCTTTCTAAAGCAATGGCAGAAGAAAAAGGTTAAAACACAAACAAACAAACATTTTAAATCCAGTGTTTTCAGAATTATAAACAGGACCTGAGCAGAAACAGATGAAAAACAAATCAACCATAATTTGATAGGCTTTCTGTGGCCAAACAAGCAAAGAGCCTGCTAACTGCTGCTTCTCAGCTCATTTGTCCTTCAGGTCCAGGAAACCCAACACTGACCTGAATCCATGTCTCGTTTCAGACGCAGAGCCCAAGTACTTGGTGGCTGTGCAGCCGATCCCCACCAACGACGTGAAGAAACACTGCACAGGTACACTCACAGCCTCGTGGTGGCTCTGTGCTACTGCTCAGGCCACAGGAAGGCTCACTCTGTCCTTTCCTGTGTGCACAGGCAAGGTGAACCTGGAGAAGCCGCTCCACTTGGTGATTGGCTCCGTCAGCCCGACAACGGTGCTTTTGTCCTGGGGAAACCAGCTGAAGACGCCCTACAAAGGTGACATCCTGAACGAGTGTCTGGAGGACGGGTGAGTCTTATTGGATGGATTAGAACAGATCTGTTGATCGGTTTGTCAGAGGGGAAGTGCACAATGCATGTGTTGAAACTATGAGAAGGTAGATTGGTGTTATACTTGCAAGAAACTGTTTGACTTAGACGTAGCTGGATGGCGCTACGACATCTGAAGCAGACTGTGGCCTTCACATGTAGTTCACAGCACAGGATGCCTCTTAGTGACTAGTCGATTGTCAGCCTAACGGGATCAGCTCTGTGATCAGATCCATTGTAAATCCATTCATACAGACTCTTGAATCTTTCAGGCAACAGGACGCCTGTGGGTTAGTGAGCAGGAAGGAGTTGTCTTTAGCTCTTGGAGACAAGTCGCACCGAAACCTTCAACAGTGGTTTGTCCTGAAATCCTGAAAACTCTTCTGCTGCTGTAGTTGGATCCTCTGAGTGTGTGGACTGATGTTACACAGACTCCCCATTCGCGCCTCGCATTCTTTTTTCCTTCCCTGCCAGACGAGTTGGAGGAGCTGTCGGAAAGCTGGGCCCAGGCATCCTCTGCCACTCTGGGTGTCGGTTCCTTCTGCCAGGATTAACAATGGGCGAAGCTGTTTGCGCACTGAGCTCAGACACTACACAGTCTGGGTGTGGGCTGGTGCTTCAGTAGCTGCCTGACGTCCACTGATGACAGATGTTTTCTCCAGTTCCACCAGTGATCCAGAGATTGGTCTGTACATGTGAACACATAGCGGAGGTCTTCATAGGTCCACTCGGTTCTGAAGTCTAACTGGGTCGGGTTTGACTGCTGCAAGTCTGTCTGTCTGTGAGTGTTCAGTACCAATGAACCTGAGCTAACCTGAACATCTCTGCTGTCAGATGTGTTTTGAGGTGAGAGCTTGCTGAGGAAAGGACCTGGATTCGGTTTCTCATTGACACTGTTCATATGCTGAGTTTGGACATTGCAAATTTCCAAGTTCAAACTGTGGCGATCAAAGTGATCTGTGAGTCACCACACCGTGGCTGGTGTGGTGAGTCACATAGTTTCATGTCCAGTCTGTCTCTTCTTGTCTTGTCTCAGTCAGCCTCTTTCCTCCCACCAGTTTAGAGCTCTGTCTTCTGCATGCAGGTTTTACACCATCCGCTACAGGGAGAGGAACAGGCAGTGGATCTACCAGACCTGCCCGACCCATGATACAGTCATTGACCACCTGAAACCCAACACGCCTTACGAGTTTGGAGTCCGCTCCAACAAGGATGACCGCAGTAGCGTGTGGAGCAAGCCGGTCATCCACAACACCAACATGGGCAGTAAGGACTGGACCTTAGTTCAGCTCTGACGGAAGTCTAGTCTAGTCCTCAGAGACTTTAGTTTACAGGAAGTTTCAGTACCCAGCACGTGTAACATGTCCTGTCTGGGCTTTTAATAATACTGAGTTTATAATAGCTGATCTGGTTCCTCATCAGACCTGCTGAGTGACATTACAGCACTGCTGACCTGCTCTGATTTCATCCTTCTCCTCTGGTGTTCACAGATAAAAACACACATAAGCCGTACAAGCTGCGTAACCCTCTGCCCAAGCCAATGGTATGTGACCTGCTGCCTGTTGGTGTGTGTGTTATATGTGTGAAGGTCTGTGAGAAGCTCTGAACACACATTTGTCACTGATTCCATGCTAAACTCTGCACAGGACTGAATTTGGTTCCAAAATTGGTTCTAATTCCATAATATTTCTGAATATCTGAACTGTTCAAACAGGATTTACAATGTGAATTTATCCTGCTGTTACCCTTATGCAGCAGAGCCTGAAGCTCTCTGATTGGATGTGTCCTGCAGCAGTGCACTCTGGGACTTGTGGTCAACTTCTTCACTTTGTTCATTTCTTCTATTAGCGCGTTTATTTTGGTTTATTTAATTTATTACAGTTTATTTAGACATTCTCTCCTTCAACCAACCACAGACCTTTTCAAACTGAAAATATTTAATTTCCTGTTTTAAACACAGATCATGAGAATAAAGTCAGTGTTTGTTGCATTTCAGAAACCTCTTGCACCTCAGGCCCTGTTCCCTCCTCGTCCTGGTAAGACTTGTGGTTCTTTTTAATTAGCACACGATGTTATCAGGCTTGTTCAGGCAGTGTTTGTGGCTCATCAGTCATTGTTCTGCCTGACATTATTCAGGGAATCTGTTTAATACTAGGCAGGTACAGTATGTACATTTCTGTCTAATAGAGGTGATGATAATCAGAACGAGCACAAAGGCTCAGACAGATGTTCCTGCGTGTTCAGGCCCGTTATAATCTCCCTCGGTCTGCAGGAGGAAGCTGCAGAAATATCTCAACCTGACGTTTGGCCAGAATATTTCACACTGCTGCAGATATGAGATGAAGTGTGGCTTTGTGTTTTTATTGTTGCTATGTTAGCAGCTCACTCTGTGGTTTGTTTAAGTGGTTGTCATTATGAATCCACTATGAATCCAGGCATTGCAACAAACAGCGTGATTATCCAGTAGCCATTGGATTTGTCTGCTGGATCATTTAGTCTGTGAGCATAGTCAACACTCACCCACAGAACCAGTTTACAGCAGGAAACGGCTGCAGATGCTCCATGTGAGAAGCTGGAGTTACAAAATGTTTTCATTTTTACGGCCTGCATAATTTGACTCATCAGCCAATTTTCAAACTGTTGTGAAACTAACTTTCCCAACACTCAGAACTGAAACCAGACGGGGTGATTTTGTTCTGTAATGACCCGTGTTGAGGCTCATGATGTAACATGCGTCTCACTATGTGTGTCGACTTATTCACAGCTCTGCACAACTGGACACAACCTCGACTCTCTGCGCTCAGCAACTCCGGCTTCCCTGGAGCGCCACGCACGTCTTTTGGTGATCATCTCCTCTTCTTAGTTGCCTCCACACACACACACACACACACACACACACACACACACACACACGTTAATTTTTTTCCACATAGGGTTACAGATGTCAATGGATCATATGTAACCTCAGTTACACACAAACAACTTCCTATCAGGGTTTGACTCCTTGGATGGAATCGTACATGATTCCACATTTTCTTGGACTGTTTTCTAAAAATACACTTTTTACAGCAACGTTCATGAGGATACTTGACTGGGTCAATTACACAGGCCTGCACTGTACTGCAGGATTTGCACCACACATCACAGAGCTACGTTGCCACATAGAAAATAAAAATAAAATCCAGAATCACTCCTTTGCTCAGTTTCACTCACTCCCTGTTTGTTAGGAACAGGCTGTTGGAAGTGTGTCCACACTGAAAAATGGTGTTAGGCTGTGAGAGCCAGTTGAGCCCGAGCCCTGCACCTTCATTCACGCTGGGATTCCCAACAGTTCCACTGTTTCTTTCCTTTCACAGCTCTTATTTTCATATTTACTCCCTTTCCCGTCTTGTAAAAGTAAACATTATGTCCCACAGCGCCACCTGAGAGCGAGCAGGAGACGTTGCCTCTGCCCACCTCTGCTCAGCCTAAATGGACTCATGTTTCACTGGGTAACAGCAAAGATGCTCTTGTTTGTCCAGTCATGCAGCTTTGTGCACAGCCAGTCTTTAGCTGCTTTGGCTGAACCCAGGGATGTACCTGGAGGGGGTGGGGCATTGTGATTGGCTGCATGCAAGCATGCCTTGAGTCAGAAAGTCGCTGCAAGGCGTGGAGGTGATATCACTGGGGGTCAGCTGATTTGAAGTTTGCCCCACCCACCATGACAGCAGCCACAACTACGTTTTCAAACTCGTTGCCAGCGGTCATGTAATGACAGCGATGCTTCAGATGAAGGTTTTGTCAGCTGCCACTTTTCTTCTTATGCTTTTTTTCATGCTCAAATGATTTGTTGTTTCATACCTTTATGCTTTCTACCAAATTATCCATGCATATTTTAGTTTTGGTTCTATATTCAGTATTAAAACTTTATTTGTGTCCTTGAGTTTCAGAATAAATCTTGTTTTATTCATGCTTCATCAGAGTTTGGGGTTAAATTTCCAAATTTAGCTTTTTCTAATTTCCTACGGGTTTCTTTGGAAACTTTGGGTTCTGCACCGTAATTTGGATTGAATCCAATGGATTTGACCATTGTCAGTGATTGGTCCAGCCAAGGTTAATGTTCTGTTTTAGGATTCAGTGATGGACTAAACAGCGTATTAAGATGGACTAGTAGCAGTGTTCATGTAGAAACAGCATGAACAGGACAAATCTTAACCAACAAGCTCCTGATGAGTTGCAAAACATCTGTGCTGCACAAACCTGGTTCAGGTTTCAAGACATGGAGTTAAAAAATCCAAACTTGTCTCATCTTAAAAAAAAATTGAATAGTTTTTTTTTTCCCCTCAAATTTTCAACTCAGAGTAGGTGAAACTGGTGATGGACTGTAGACATATGTGCTCAGTCCTTTTTCCTCCTCTGCCTTATCCCACTCCTTCCTCTTGTCTGTCCCCATCCTGGGTCCTCACTGTGGCTGCTATGTGTTTAATCAGTCTGCATGACAGGACTGCATGTTGGCCAGTTCAGACGCAGACGTGGTTGGATGTCCACACCACAAGTCGTTCTGCAGTGTCCCCCTCCTCCTCCTCCTGTCTCTTCACAAAAACAGTGTCTTCTGGACTTTTCTGCATTTCTGCAAGGTACAAGATTATAGGACCAAAACCTAATTGGACAGTCTTGTTTGACAATAAGGCCTTTAAACAGTACCAGAGATGGAGGTTCACTAGCTTACCTTAAGAAACACAAAATGTTTTACAAAATAAAACAAAGTCTCAAATTGGCAGAAATCAGGTTTAAGTCAGTGAGGAACCATATGATCAAAGAATAAGTTAGTAGGAACACAACCAAAACTTTCGAGCTGGTACCAAGCAGTATCAGTGATTGATACCCAGTCCTGACAGAAAACTGACTTGAATGTCAAAGACACATCTGGGCATGTTCATTTCTTCTCAGTTGGAGGTGATCAGAGGAATCAAAGTGCATGTCTTTAGACTACAGTGTATCTTCTGTAAACCAGCCAAAACCAAACCTTTGCCATGTGAAATCAAAGCTAAGATGACCTGACTCCCATGATCACAGCCCCTCTCTCCTCTCTCACTCCAGACAAAGGAAATGCTTTTAGAAATGGCACCAGCCAAGTGGTGGACTTCCCCAAGCTCCTGCCCACCAAAGCCCCTCCTGCCAACACCACACCTCGTTCCAAATTACTCTCCAGGGGCGACTCGCTGCAGGGCCTGACCACTAAGATGCCTACTAGTGTACCTGAGAGTCCTCATCACCCTGCTGGTAATTCCCACCAACTTCCTTTGTGTTTTCATACTTGTGCAGTAATTGACATGGTTTGTAAAGCTGGAGCTGAATCCCAGTGATGTCAGTTTGTGGTTTAAAACAGCTGTTGTGACTGTAAGACAGAATTAAAATATGCCTTGTAATGTTTAAAGAAATGCTGCTAGTTATGAAACATGAGGCTGTCAAACAGCCAGCATTGCTTCAATGAGCCGAGACTGATGTCCTTTTTTAACCGCTCTGCTCGTGACGTTTGAGTCATATGATCACAGTGAAAGTCAGTTGGTTTGAGAAATCTGACCTGATGTATCTACCTACTGCTCTGTAGGATGTCCACGAAAAGAAGCGTTTCATCTGCAAACAGTTAGACTTTGCATCAGACCTGCCAGCTGAACATTTGTGAATGAAATCATCCAGCTGCAGGGAGTCAACTCTAAATTATATATCATCCCTTACTCTTGTGCCTCTACAAACAAACAGTGGTAGGAGCTTTTCAGTCAAACTGGAAATCTGTTTGTTAGTAGAAACATTTCCTGAACAAAAGCCAGTTTGTGACCCAGATATCAGACCTTCTGTAGGACTGCCATCTGCAAACAGATGCTGCTGACAGTGGACCAGCTCATAAAGCGAAAAATATATAGGTCCAGCCCTAACCTTGTCTTTCTCCCACAGCTTCCGGCAAATCACAGGACGCGTCGTCGCTGCTGAGAAAGGCTCTGGCCAATGAGAGGGCCAGAACTAACCCCTGGGGTAAACATGACCTCGTGACTTGCTTTCTGTGTCTTGCTGTTTCCCTCTGCTGTTTCCCTGCCTCCATCTTGTTCCCTCTTGTCGCCCTCCAGTTAAATTTGCAGCCACGTTTTTGTCCACAGGAGCGCCTGCTGGCTGCAGAAACTGCACCTGTAAACACATTTCATCCAACATGGCCTCCACTGCCTGCATGCAGCACACAATCTCACAGTCATGGTTGTGAGCTCATCGGCAGCTTCAATGACTGTGGTTTCCAAGATTGTGTGTGCTTAATCAGTCATTGTGAGCTACTCCATACAGTGTCACTGTACTGAGGATTGCATTAAAGTCCATCAGAGTATTAACCTCCATACTAACATCGCTGCTGCGAGCTCGCTTTACTGGCAACTTAGAGATGAGATCAGACTGTAACCCAGGCCCTACAACTGTTTTTGGTCTTTTAGGTGCAGGCAGCAACAGACAGCTCAGCCCCTCACTGTCTGTGCAGCCCTACAACCCGGCAACTACCCCGTTTGCCAGATCCATGCAACCGGCATCGAGAAACCCGCGGTTCCCCTTCTCTAACAGCTTCAGACAGCCCCCGTCCTCCTCTAGACACGGTGACTCGGGGGTACCCCTCCTTGTACCTGTCACTTGACTCTTCTCAACTGTCTGTTATCACCGATGTCTGCTCGCTCCCTCTGAGATGTTCACTGCCTCCTCTGTGGGGTTTACACACTAAAATGGGTGGTACTGCATTGCTGTACTTCACTGATATTGCACCAGATGTAGTAGAGCTGCAGGTCAGAACCTTTAGAAGAGGTGCAACAGTTTGGTTTAGGCTGAAGGTTTTCAGCCCTCACTCTACCTGGTGATGAGCACAGGGAGACTGGCTGTGTTTGTAAATTCTCCATCCTGTCTCTGAGCCACAGAGGCCCGGGCTGTTCACTGCAGCCTCACAGCTGTGGAGCTGTTACTGGGTTTGTTTGTTCAGGAGAAAATGCCAGAACGTTGCCCTGGGGTTATTGCTTGTTTTATGAGGTCTTAAATCAGCTCCTTCAATATATGATTCTGATTCAATAAAATTTTGTTGAATTTGAGCCAGAACAGCGGTTCATTAAAAATGTGTTCCCTGTAATCAATAATCTTCACCTCAAAGTGTCAGCCCTTGCACCTTGGCCTCATTACAGTGTCTGAAGTCATTCTTGATGGTGTTAAACCAAACATTAAGATACCTCTGGTGCTGCTGAAGCTGTGTTTTTATACCTTCCATGACAGTGGAGCCATCAGGAGGAATGACAGAAATGCACATATCAGGGACTTTAAGACCAAAGATCTCGGCTCTGGCAGCTGCCAGTATCTCCCCAGGGGAGCCCCGGGAACATGATTGAAATCAGCACCAGATGTGGAGTTAGATCTCACATCTGCAGTGGTGGTTTCAGATGTGGTGGGGGGTCACATGGAGCACTGGTTGGTTTGGCTGTGACCGGCCCTGTCGGCTCTTGGGTTTGTTCGGCCCTGGTCGTCTGTTTCTCAGCTGATGCTTCCGAGTTTGGGGTTTTGGATTAACTTGATGCTGTCATTCAATATCATTCAGTAGTTTTTATTTTGAAGCAGAGCAAAGAAAATCCCACTGTGCTGAAACAGTCTCTGGTTCACATCTGTTTTCTTAACATGCTGTTGTTTTTGTCTAATTTTTAACTGTTGGCTGCTAAATGAACCTCACACTGAACAACCACGAGTCCGTTCTCAGCTTGTTTTCCAGAAGGCTCAATCAGAACTCGGTGTTCTTGAATTTAAAAATCTGAATTTGCCTAAAGTGATGAAGAAGGATCAGGTGAAAGTGACAAGTAGTTTGTTTAATGACCTGATTCATCATGTCAGTGACACGTTATACAGTTAACATGAGTAAGTTTCGCCCCAGTGTAATGTTTAAATTCTGAAATGAAATTCCTAAGTTGGATTTCCAAATTTCTGGGGATACTGCAACCAAATCTGAGTGTTTATGTACAGTAAAGCTGAATCCACCTAATAAATGAATTGATCAGTTTTCTCTGACTTTCACTGACATTTTTAATAAAATAACAACAGGATGTTGAGATGAGGAGAAAAGAAGAATCACAAGGTGAACTCTGCAGTCAGGGAGCTAATGGGTTGTGCTGGTTGTCCTCGTGTTGGGTTCACTTGTCAGACACTGTGTTTCCCCTCATAACGCTCAGCTCTCTCCCTACAGTGAACGGGCAGCCACACCGGGGCATTTCCCCGCCCAGACCAGCCTTATGGTCCCAACCTCGACTGGGTAAAACAGACCTCTTTGTCTCTGTGTTTCATCATTAACCCTCCAGTCGCTTCCGCAGCGTCTTCGCCTGCTGGTGTCTCTGTCTCCATCCAGTTTGTTCATTAATACTGTTGTGTCACCTCATCACCCGTCCGTCCATAAAACCACCATTCTGTGCCTCCATGTTGTGTCCAATTTGCTTCTGGTTGAGCTTCAGCTTCTGGCAGCGACCTCTTCAAATAATCAAGTGGAGGTCGGAGCTTGATTGTTTAACTTGGTTACATAACTGCCGTAGATTGTGTAACTGTGTGTTCATGTGGTGGTGGGGGTGGGGGTGCTGATTTGTTCTCAGTGTTGGGCTCTTTGGATGCTGCTGCAGAGAGCTTCCGTTTCACAGTGTGAAGGTTGGAGGGTATGAAACCAGGCACTGAAACCTCATCCTAACATCTGTCTGACCTGTGTGGAGCTTCACTCTCTGAGATGCTGGAGCCTCGGTGAATCATCTGTGCTGGGTAAACTCCATCCTCGCAGGAAAACTGGGGGAGGTTTTGGAAAAACCTGACGTGTGCACCTGGAGTTCAAATGTTTTGCTAGAATATCAACTTTTACTTTAGACCAAGAACCTTAAATCTGGAAACACGTTTGTCATCGTCATTTGTGTTTGTTTACATCTTCCCTGCATTATTGTTATTGTTTGCAGAGTCTGGGAGGTTAAGACCTGGGATTATGTGTAGTTATGCAATACACAATTCTGTATGTATTTACAGAACAGTATGATTATTAACTCATAGTGAGGCATAAACAGGCTTTTGTGTTCAGGCCTGGTCTTAGTTTTCTTGTTGTCTTGATTGTTCCCACACTGTGACCAGTCTTTATGGGTTAGTTTACCCAAGAGTCCTGCAGCTACACATGCTACTGAAGCTCTTTTCCAGCCCCCCTGTCCCACATGTGTGGTTGTCTTTTGCAGGGGGCACCAACTGGTTGGTTGTCTTTTTCATCTAGAAGCGGTCCAGATATGGGGACAGCAGCTCCCATGACTTGTTAAGAATGCAAAACAGTGGAACACTCCAGGATTCGGAGAGGCATGTTTTGATCCGAATGCTTGTTCTTCTGCAGTGAACAGCTATGTGTTTGGTAGTTACACCATGTTGGTTGGTAACGGTGTGAGTCTGGCCTGTGTCCACCCAGAAATCGCCTATGTCATGTGCTGCATGGTGCCTCAGTCACACTGCATGGTTTGGCCATGTCTGATGACCAGAGACAAATTTTTAGAAGGACAAGGAATGAAACTGTCAGTTCAAACGCTTTGGCCAGGTGTCGGCACAGCCTGTGGAAAATACTGTTAGCTCGTGTGAGCTGACTTCTGATGGAACTTTGCTGAGCTTTGTGTTTCATGTGGCCACAAAGACTTAAAGACAAGCAGTTTGTAATTACCCTATGATGGACCTGGAGTCTGGGTCAGCCCACTTGCTGCTATTCTAGTCCTGGGTCCAGGTCCACATGCTCCAGCCTTGGCTCCTGCTTGACTGTGAACACTGGTAAGCGCCACAGGCTGCAGAGATGTTTAGAACAGCCGTCACGCCACCAGGACAGCGTGGCGTGCATCAAGCAGTTTACATTAGGATGTGGAAACCTCCATGTGCTTTGTGTGTGAAAAGAGAAAATTGTACCAATATTTATTTCACTGAGTCCTGGCCAGTAATCAGGAGGTGTTGCTGAACACAGACCAGTCTCCGCCAGTATACAGCCTCTGAGGCCTCTACATCTACTGGCTCCGTGTTTAGGTGATAGCATCCTAGTTTGTGTTGAAGAAGAAGACAGGTTTGACCCGGGACAGCGAAGCCCAGCGCTGCAGGCACCACCATACGTATTTACATGTGACTGATTGAAAGGAATGCGTCTGTATTGTTTCATGTTACAAAGTAAAATGTTTCAGGACGCCATCATCTTTCATGTTCCTGGCTTTGCATTTATTTCATTTAGTTCTGGAGCTGGGTCAGTTCCTTGATTGTGAAGAATTTTGGCTTCTCCTTAAATGAAACAAAGGGGCTGTAATTGGCTGCAGGTTCTGGACGTCAGCCTGAACGCTCGCACTGTACAACCCTGTGGAATTACACAGAACTGTTCATGTTTTCAGGTTCGTTTGGAGCTGGGTATTGTGTTCCACATCAGGAGAACAAGGAGATTTTCTAGGACATGACAGCACCTAGCTAGAACATGGAGCCGAACAGCTGGTGGAGCTGCACTGTTTGCCTTATTTGGACACAGCCAAAGATCTGATTAACAGCCAGAACTTTTCTGTCATGTCATGTACCACTTCAAAAAATTATGAAAGCACTTTGTATAATAATGACGGTGGTGAGAGGAGTGTTCCACTGTTTTCCATTAAAGGCAGCCTTTCATGTGTAAAAGCATCTTTTGTTGTTCACAAATACACAGTTGGTTTCAGTTATTAGTGGTGGCAGACTGAGAAAAAGCATTTGTAGACCAGTGAAATCATACTTGACGGCACAGTGGCGCGGTGGTTAGCGCTGTCACTTCACAGCAAGAAGGTTCCGGGTTCGAGCCTGAGCCGACCTAGGGCCCCTCTGTGTGGAGCTGCATGTTCTTCCTGTGCCCACGTGGGTTCTCCGGCTTCTTCTCACAGTCCAGCACAGACATGTGGCTTAGGTTGACTGGCGACGACTCCAAATTGTCTGTAGGAGTGAGTGTGTGTGTTTGTCAGTCAGCCCTGTGATAGGTGTCCACCCTGGACTGGTCCCCCCCCCAGGAATAAGCACTATAGGTGATGGATGAATGAAATCATACTGTGCACCGATGAAGATGGACTGTGTTGTTGTTGTTGCAGGATCCCCTGCTCACCCCTCCGTACCCATCAACAAGAGGCCAAACCTGGTGGGGAAACCTGGGGAAACAGGTGCGAACACGTCCAAACAAGCACATGCAAGTGACACAGTTATGCTGAACCTCACAGTGGTTTTTGTTTACATGTTTTCCATCAGATAAGGTGAAAAACCTCAAGCAGACAGACAAGCTGCCAATGCTGAAACCCAAAGTCCCACCCACCACCAAGCCAACCAAGCAGGAGCACAAACAGACCACGACTGCTCCACCGACACCTGGTACAAATGTACTTTACTTTCCCTGCAGGAAACCAGAACCAAAGGGCAGTATAAACAACAACTACCATATTTGTGCACCAGAAGCTCAGGGTCATGGTAGGAGCAGCCCAGGCTTGGTCAGAGGTGCAGAGTCATACCTGTGGCATTAATTCATACAGTCAGCAAACCATTGAGGTACATGAGGGAGCATGTGCGTTGTGCTTTCAGGAGGTTTCAAACAGCAAACAGGGCAACAACACAACTACACAAATGACTGAGCAATAACCAGAGAAGACCTGATCAGAGTGCAGGTGGTTCTGAGAACTCTGCTCCCCTGCTTTTTGTTCCACTGACACCAGATCATCTTAGAACAGTTCTCTGTGGTCCTCTGGGCCACAACACATGACAACTTATTGCAGTCCACAGTGGGACACGCAGGCGTCATGCTGCTGCTGTTTGCAGTCTTAAGTGTCTGCCAGTCAAGTGAGTTACAGAAACATCGTGCTTCAGACCAAAGTCCTTCAGCAGTGGCATCTCACTGAGACTTCTGGGAAGTGTAGTATTAGAGGCCTGAAATCCCATCAATGTGACATCACAAGATATAAAATGTATGGTGGATCCATACAAGAACTAAGTGGCATTCTTTGGTTAATGCAACAGACAAGGCTGTTTCAAACTATGGTTTCTCAGGCTTTGTCTTTGTGTTTCCTCTCAGCATCTCGTCAGGAAACCTGGGAGGATTCGGACCTGTTTAAATCACAACCGACCTCTGACGTTGATGCCATGGGCAAGAAACGCTATGTGGGTAAGCGGAAACATGAAAAAATTAGGTTTTCATGTTAGCTCCAGCTTGGACCTAAAGAAAAGCTCAAAACCAGCCTAGTTGTCCCAGTATAAGCTGCTGAGTTACACTGGGAATTGAACCCCAAACTGTGACAGTGCTCTCCCTCCTCTCCACAGCGCCATACGTCGTCTACCAAACAGGCAAGAAACCAGATGAGCCTTGCTCCATCACCTCCTCCCTCAACTACTTCCCTGAAGATGAACCCGGTGAGACGAACGTGACCGCTCCGCCCCAGGCACCACCCACCAACCTCACCGTGGTGACAGTGGAGGGATGCCCATCCTTCATCATCCTGGACTGGGAGAAAACTAACAACGACACCACAGGTACAAAGAAATAACCTGAAGTTTGACTCAGAGTCAGAGAAGAACATGCAGCAGTTGTATCTCTTCTCTCTGTTGTGTTCTCCTCAGAGTATGAAGTCATCTCCACCACTAAGGGACCAGATGGAGAGCAGACGTCTGTACTGACCACCAACCAGACCCACACCGCCGTGGAGAACCTCAAACCTGAGAGCAGGTATTGTTGGCACAAAATTGAGTCAGACCAGATCGTTAGGTCACACCAAGTCCAGGCTGAAGCCACAGCAGCAAAACCAAACCACATCCTTCCAACAGCAGAGAGTTCTGACAGACCACAGATTCAGCTCTGTGGTGACTGTTAAGAGTATGAACTGTACTACAAGGTGAGCAGAGCACATCACGATGGACTGAAGGACACATGAGTTTGTGCTGCTGACTGAAGCAAACTGTCCTGATGAGTCCAGCATGGAGACCCACGTTAGATGCAGCCGGAGCAGACACTGCTCCCCCAGAGATTTATTGTAAATGGGTTTGATACAACGTCAGCTACGGCTGGCTCTGTAGGATCATGAAAACTAGAGGGTACAGATGAAATCTCCTGACCACCTTCACACACCGGCACCGGTCACCTGCTCGTCATCATCAACCTTTATTTAATCAGGGGAAAACAAGCAAGCTCTCATTTTCAGCGGTGGCCTGACATGCAATTAACACCATCACAACAATATTCAAATCAGTATTAAAATCCAAAATCACATTAAAACTAAATATACACCTAAATCAAATTAAACACACAGTGTCCAGATCATCTGTTAAATTCACATTTAAACTGTGAAATACTGTGTAAAAGCAGTTTAAATTGAGATAAAGGAACGAGCACAGCCAGGTTAGTTTTTTCTGCAAACTGTTCCATCTCTGCAGCAGCACAGTAACAGAAGGACATCTGTGTGTTGGCAAACAAGGGCTGCAGAACAAGATGATCTTGTGAACGGGTCAGCTACATTGACCTGACTTACAACTAGGCCTGTAATATATCCAGGCAGCCTATTAAGTAGTGGGGCTTTATAGATAGATAACATACAGCGATGCTCCCTTCTCAGTGTCAGAGATGGCCAGCCCAGTCTCTGGTATAGTTCACAGTGGTGAGTCCTGAAGGGACCTCCAGTAACAAGTCCAACAGCAGCATGATGCACTGAGCCAAGTGGTTTCAGGGTTTCAGCAGAGACAGGCATGTCAATTATATCACTGTAGTCTGTTACAGATAAAACTGTTGCTTGTTCCAGCTGCCTCCTGTGATGCTCATTAAAACTAAATCTGTTTCTATACAGGAATGAAAGTCTGGGCTTATGTGAAGCAGTTAATTTCTCAATATGCAATTGAAAACTCATCTGTCTAAGCAAAAGCCAGAGACTGTGTCAATGACAGCACTGTTCAGTGCAGCTATATCTAGATTTAAATGATCAGTCTGACATTGTTTTCTAGTAAAAATCATATACTTCATATCTACTGCCTGCTGCAGCTCCTGACATATTTCCATGTCCCATGAGTGTTCAGATCTCCCGCCTCAGTCACAATGCCTTCAGCTGTCCAAACATGCCAAGGCAGTCGAGCAATTGCAGAGGGGAACCGAGCGTCAGCCAAACGCTCAGACAGTAAAATAAGCAGTTAGTCTGTTACGCTCGCTGAGGTTTCAATGAGCCTGGCAAAGGGAAAACTATGTGGTGTGAAGGATCGTGGTTGGAAATGAAGTCTGACACCGTCCGGAGGCACATAGCTGCAGCCTGAGGTGAAGGCATTACAAGACTTTTGTGATAATAAATAACATAAAGAAAAAAGCAGTCACATCTGAGAAGCTGAAAAACAACCTGTGACCATCTGATAAATCAGATCTTTGCTACCTCACAGGGGGAGGTTGCTGCTGGAGTTCAGAATCACAGAGTGATTAACTGAACAGATTAACATCTGTTTAACAACAACGTCTCCTGTTCTCTTCCTGTCTCTTGTAGTTATGAGTTCAAGGTGAAGCCGAAGAACGAGCTGGGTGTGGGTCCTCCCAGTGAGCCGGTGTCCTTCAGCACAGAGTCAGGTGCAGTCGCACTTTTCTTCCACTGCCTGTGATTCCCTTTCTGCCAAGTTCAGACTTCTGTGTTAGTTGAGCCATCACAGTGTGTTTGTCTGGGTGGTTGTTGGGCAGCTACACATAACAACAAACCTTCAAGATGCCAGATATCAAACATCAACAGTAATGTCATATTTTTGAATTTAACTTGACAATGAGTGTCCAGATCAGCAGCACCACATGACTCAGTTAAGATGGTGTTATCAATATGTGTGTGCATGTCGCATATCATTTGTTTGGAGAACAGGGGGCTCTTATTGTGGAGAGCATAGGAAGCAGGTAACTTCATGTGGAGTTAGAGTTACAGCTGAAAACTTTCAAGGTGTTAAACGTCAGTTTTTTTCTTTCCTTAGCTGACCCAAGGGTGAGCGAGAACTTCTCAGGTGAGTCCACCCACAGTGTTGTCCACATGGTCGCCAGTACAGCATAGGCAGGTTTCAGTCAGTGAAAGCCTCTTGTGTGTGCAGGTAAAGGCGCCATCTGGACTCAGTTCCCCTTCAAGATGGACTCCTACTCTGACTGTCATGGCAAACAGTATGTGAAGAGGACCTGGTACCGCAAGTTTGTCGGCGTCCAGTTGTGCAATTCGCTCAGGTACAAGATCTACCTGAGCGACTCGCTCAAAGGTGAGTACACACGCCGGATGCCATGGTGGCAGAGTGAAGTTGAACCTGGCACTCACCTGTCTTTGCTCATGTTTCTGTGTAGGTAAATTTTACAACATCGGAGACCAGACCGGCTTCGGTGAGGACCACTGCCAGTTTGTTGATTCATTCCTGGACGGGCGGACAGGCAGGCAGCTCCGGGCCGACCAGCTACCAGCCAGACCCGGTAAACACTGTGCTTCATACATTCCTGGCAGATGTCAGTGGAATATTTTCTGGCAGCGGACGGTGAAGCTGTGAGCAGACTGCTGCAGATGTAGCAACGCTCAGACTCGCTGAGATATTTTTGTGGCTGCTCATGGAGGAGCACAGCCAGTACTTTAGCCAAAACCTTTAGCTCCTGATGGACATTATTAGCACCAAAATTCACCCTCCTCCTCAGTCAGATGTGACCACACAGACATGAAACACGTTGATTTGATTCATTGTGACATCCACTTCCTGAGGAGCTCATTATCTCTGATGTCCTTCCAAAACAAACCTCCATAAATCTATTTAGAAACCAGAGGAGAAGAGGCTGCAGAACCTGCCTGAGAATCCTCCTGGTTTAGGTTTCGTTCAGTGTCCCAGTGAGCCAGTGACAGTTGTCTCTACATCCATGGAAATACTGCAGACAGCAGCTGCTCACTGCTAAGTTCTGCTGCTGTTAATGGGGACACTGTGACTTCATGTGAACTGGTACAGGATTAAAAAAATGCAGATGCTTATTTCTGTTTTTAACAGTGTATTTCTCACATGATGTCTGCTTCTTTGTGGTGCAGGTTTCTACAGAGCCCTGCGCCAGGAGCCTGTCCACTTTGGCCAGATTGGAGGACATTCCCACATCAACTACGTCTCATGGTACGAGTGTGGAACCCCCATCCCTGGCAAATGGTAAACGGACTCGAGCACAGAGTTGTCCTCAGAGAAGCCAGAGGAGGATTGGTCACCCGGGCTGTGGGGGCAACAACAGGAGGGTTCCTTAAAAATCTGATGGACCCAGTGCTGTAAAAACATGTACAGGACATATCTGTCAGGGAGTTTGTAATGTAAGAGGATTTTTTAACTATGTAATAGCAAACATGTCTCATCTGTACTATTTATCAAGCAACCAGGCTGAAGTGGCAGAGACCGGGGGGTGCATGGGGGTGTGCTACTCTCTGCAGTGTGGGGGGGGGCAGCAAACTCACGCTAGATATATTTTATTTTGTTCAACATGGGAAGCTGGCTCCCTGGAATACTATGTTCATAATTTGTGAGATGTTATTTATCAAGAGCTCTTTGCTCCCATGTCTTCACGGTGCGGTAGGCGAGACGCTGGGACCTGTGGGTGTGTGATGCCTCTCCTGTTCCTCTGCTGTAGATCTCACTGCTTCCTGTTCACTTGAATCCAGAGTCAGCTGAGCAGAAGGATTTAAAACAGAGCCAGAGGTCCTGCTTCACATACACTCTGGTCCCAGTACAACCAGTCTCCTGCTGTCGCTGCTGGTACGTGTGGAGATGAAGTGTGGACAAGGAATATACTTTGTGATAAACTTGCTAAATACATGAGGATAAGCTCCTGGTACATGAACCTACTAGAACAGATCCTGAAATTAATATCTTAAATGTACAGTAGTTTGGATGAATCTCTGCTGTTCTGTCTAACAGAGTGCTATTGATTAATCTGCTGATTATTGTCTTGATTAACCCTTTGGTAGTAACTAGTGGTCCAGCCAACATTCTGACACCCAATGAGATTCTCATATTTGAGAAGCTGAAACCTCCTGAGGTTTTGGCCTTTTTGCTTGAAAATCAACTTAAATGGTGCATTGATTATGAAAAGAGTAGCTGATTAATTCTCACAGTGCTCCGAAGTCTGTTGGGTGTGGAAGTACATATGAGCTGTAGTCATAAAACGTACACTACATTGTACAGGCTTGACTTTTGGTGCTTTAATAGAACTCATTAGTTTCACGTTAGCACATTGGCTGTGTTGGTTGTTCTGTACCAGACTGCCGCCCTCAACCCTGAGTAGGGAACCCAGCCGGCGGGCGGCTCCTACACTTGCAGTTTGCACAACTAAAATGTATTTATGTGTATATGGAGAGAATGTAGTTTTACAGATGCCTTTCCCTCACAGTGGCCTTTTTACTGTGCCATCAGGTGCTCTACTTTTTGCTGCCTCGTGCTAATGCAGGGTGGGAAGCTAACAACACAGCCTGGTAGTAAAGTCATAAATTTATATATTGAAATTTACCAGCTAGCTAATGTGGCTAGTCGAAGTGGCAGCACAGACATTTCAGTTGCTCAGATGTTCATAGAATTTATATGGAAAGAATGTCAACAAAACAAACCTCAGTACAGCCAAAAACATCCACAGCATCTTTGATCAGATCTGACATATGCAGGAGGATCTGCTATCTCTGTTTCTTTCATTAAACTTGTTACAGGATATATGTAAAATACAAATTTACTGTCTGTCTTTAGATAAGTTTAATATTAAGTGGGTGCAACTTAACAAATGTATCATTCTTTGTATTTTCTTTGACTTTTATGAGCTGCTATGTGACTGAAATGCCTGTGGATTAGGGCTATGTGCTAGCATGCTAATTATGTTGTATAATTGTGTAAAAAATTGTGCTGCCATTACTTTCCTGTCCTGCCACCAACCCCACTATTAATAGTTTATGATGGAGGTTATGGAGGCAGCGACGCAGGACACATCCCCCCTGTTCCATAGGATGTAGCACAGTCCTGATCAGGTGCTGTTGTCCTGAACATAAAAGAGTGAACTGTGCCTTTAACTTGCAGCTGAAGCCCCTGAACCCATTCTTTTGAAACAAAAGAGAGCTTTGTAAGAAAAGCCAGAATGTACATGAACAAGAGGCTGAACTGATGTTTTTCTATGTTTGTTTCTCTATTGACTTTCAACAATAAAGAAGTTTTGATTCCTTTTTTAAAATGTTGTCTTTATTTTTCTTCCAAATCCATGAACCATTTTATGCTAGTTAGCTAACAGCATGTTCCAATTCAGACTAAAACCACATTTTGATGAGATACGATGAGTTAACGTAGTATAACATATTTTCCAGAGCATGTCTAATGGGATTTATCTAGCAGGCCTAAATCAGGACAGACTGGCACTACTTGTCTTCCTGATGCTAACCACTTAGCATAAAGACAAGTAGCTATAGGCAGTAGTCATTAGACAGCTTTTATTTTAGTCTGGATCATTCATTTTTAGCTGTTAGTCTGAATTAGTACTAAGTGGTGGTTAAGACAAAGTTGTGATGACACCTGTCTACTTCAATGTCAAAAATATACTGTAACTATAGTTCCCATGATGCTTTGGGGGATGAAAACAGGAAGTCAGAGAGCTAATTGTGGCTATAACTTGATCCACGTGTTTAGCCCCTGTTCACTTCCATTTAATCAGTGTCCTTTTGTAAAGTAAGCTGAATGAGCATTGAGCAGCTCCTGTGTACAGTGTACCATGAATGTACACACAACTGTCATTGCATTACTGTGATACTGAAGGAAACTTTAAAACAGGAGGATTCCCAGGCAGGTTCTCCATCCTCTTTTCCACTGGTTTCTAAGTGCATTTATGGAGGTTTGTTCTGGAGCAGCGATGATGGCAGTAAGTGGAAGTTACTCTGACTCTATAAATATGTTTATTGTGTCTCATATTTGTGTTCTTTAACCATATGATGTAAAAAAAATAAACCCCATATAAATAAATTCCATTAGCTGCCAAGTAAAAAAACCATCTCTGCAGACACAACTGTGTTTGTCCAGGTGACATGAACATTTTGTCAGACAACCAAAATATTTGTTTGTTTCATATGTAAACACTGGAAAATATGACAGTGAACAGATTCAGCAGGGAGCTCAGTGTTTGGGTTTAGTGTCAGAAATCCTGTTAAATGTGTTGAGTGTGCAACAAAGAGAATGTTATTTCCATTTAGAAGAGTGTGAAGGTTTAATGCGTAGTCAGTGTCACAGGACAGCATCATGTCTTATGTGGTGTATTTGTCCTCGCCTGGCTGCTGCATCACCCACAGGTTTTAGAAACTGGTGGTACAGAAAACAAAGAGGACCACAGTTTCCTGAGCCACAGAGGTTTGTGAGCAGCCCAGCTTCCTTTGGTAATTTCAGACATTGTTGAGTAGAGTATCTTGTTTGTTAGACATGAACTTCCTGACTGTAGAAACAGGTTCTTTACATGGGACAAATGAGCTTCAGTTGGCTTCATATTGTCACTGAATATGTGCAGCCAAATGTCAACACTCTGTTCTGGAGTTTTCAGTCATATCCTGAGCAAATGGGAACTTAAATTTGCATTTAAAGACTTTTTGTTTGTTGTCTTAAAAGTGAGAGTGAAGCAGACTTGATCTAGTGAGGGGGATGAGATGATCTGATCAAAAGGTCCTGAGATTGTCATTGGAGCAGGAGTGTAGATAGTGCAGTCCAAACCGTCCTGTTCATCTCAGACCTTTTGAATGTGTACCACTGGCTCCCACATATTTTCAAGTACTACAACATGTGACTGAAGAGAAGAAGTATTTCTAAATGGAAAAGTGTGTGTTCAGTCATTAAACATTTCACAACGCCTCCGACCAGATCATCCATCTTCATATTACCCACAACCCCCCACTCCCCTGGTGTCAGGATGTTGACCGCAGCCCAAATTAGAAACACCAACAGTGATGTGACGGATTACATCACTTTTCCAGACGAACAAGGGGGCTGTATGTACCATCGCCACGGCAACGAGGGAAAACCCTGACATGCTCCTGCCTGTCGAGGAGCCACGTGGGGGTTTGTTCACCGCAACACAGAAAAGGAAAATAAGAGCAGGAAATCTCGTCAGTTTAAGAGCGCGCTGCTATAATTTCACCCCATTATGTTACACATGAATGTTCCCACTGGGAACCAGAACCCTCCAGTAATGGGAACAACCAGTGGGCTTTCACCGGACAGCAGCTCTGGAAACACATGCAATGCAGGGAGAATCTGAGGAGATCGAGCAGCAGTGTCAGAGATCAGTGTGCACACCCTGGAAGGCCTTGAAATGTCTGGATTCTGGTTTCCTCAACAAGAGGCCTTAGAGGTTTTAAAGTCTTCAGTAATCCAGGTTTTGTCCAACACTCAAAGATGTTTCATTCACTCTGGTGTTTGACCCAAAACAACAGGAAATCTTGACACTTCTCAACTAAAACCAGCACATTCTTCACTTTTTATAATGTTTGTTTGAAAGTAGTGAAACAAATGATCAAGTTTCAGATTTTCTTTCCATGGAATAATTGACACTTTGACTAATCCATCAGTGCTTTCTGCTGCTTCTCTAGCTCCGTGCTGCAGTAATTTAATTAATGACCAGTGCTGTTATGTGAAGCTGACAAGCACCAAAATGTGACGCCATATTAAAGAATAACTGTAGCTGATAGAACGTTGGTTCGGTGTGATGGTGAAACAGGTGTTGAACTTCACCGTGTTATGAAAAGGTCTCACACTGAACCAGTTTGATTTTGAATCCTCATGTGCTCCAAATGTCTGTAAACTTCAATATGAGCTGCTGCTGCAGCAGATT